GAAAACCCAACCAACCTCTACCCCAAGATTTTATTTTTTTTTAATTGAGAAAGTAATAGGGCTATAACCCACTACACATTTCTTTCAAGTAGTCAGAATTAAATTACTAGTTCAAGATGCCTTTTATAATTCTCCAATTGTCCTTATATTAAGGTCTGTGACCTTACCAAGGAGCAGTATTTCAAAGCATTTCTGCAACTACTATTTTACATACTTCATTAGGGTTATGCATCCCTTCCTCCAACTCTGTACCCTTCCCATTTCTTCCTTTCACCTCTGCCCAGTGTATGATTTTTGTAACATTGTTAAGCACTTAAATGGATTTAAAGGGTTCATTAACGTGAATACTAAGAAGTTATGCATCATAGCAGAACCATCTGAAAATACATGTATCCCATCGCTTGAAACAGGGAAAAATTATCCCAGGATGGGTCACATACAGGTTATATGATTGTCAATAAAATATAGACATTCAGTCCTTACCTGCTTAACTGCATGATGATAAACAAATCTAAACAGCATGCAAAAGTCCCCAAATTCTGAATCTGTCTTCCAAGCGGTTGTGACAGTTTTATACCCTGATGCTTTCTTCTTTGCTTACATGCATTTGACTGGCTAGAATATTTGTAAGCAATACTAGGGTTATTTTGCAAACCCAGTCTCCTCTTCTCTTTTCAAGCCTCTGGCTGGCATCTCACACAGCTCGAAATAGGCATCTTCGGAGGTAAAGCCTCCCCAGCGATTCCCAAACGGATTCCCATTAGAAGGAGGTCCCTGCTCTAAAAGGCTGATCACGTTCTCGACCTGGTGCGGAGTAAAACACTCTCTGGTTCAACTCTTAGGGGCTGGGAGCACAGCCATCGGAGACCTAAACTCTCTGCCACTGCTTGGCTGCGGAACCGGCAGGAACCCGCGGCCGAGAAGCGCCACCCCCTTCTCGGGCGGACACCGAGGGGAGCGCTCGGGTCCCAGCTCCTCCTGCTTCTCCCCCCACCTCCAGAAAAAGGGACACAGAAAAATAAAAGCCCAACTTGGAAGTGCGTCTCATATAAGCCAAAGGGTTCCCAACCTCACTCTTTGCGTCAACTTCAACCTTGTATTCCAAGCTCCGGCTCTAATTTGAAACCCAGCTCTCTTCCCCACCCCCACCTCCCCCCAGATTCACCAGTTGGTGACTGACCAGTTGGTGAAGGCGGAGGGGGAATGACCGGCAGTGATACTCAAACACAGAGCCTGAGAAGTCAGTTAGCAAGCTTAAGCTCGACTAAGCAGGGGGAGGAAGAAGGCGATTATGGTTTTATGAAGCAGGCATGCTGAAAAGCCGTCATTTATGAGTCTAAGGTATAGTTCATTAAAAATAATAAATAAATAAATAAATAAAATGCAAATGCAAAAGGGCGTTGATAAGAGTCTAGTGCTCCCAAGTCTGTCCTCTCAGAAAAGAGGTTTTGCTCAAGTTTGGCCTAAAGCAGGCTGGAAATGGAGCGTGAGGCACGGAGGCGACCCCGCGGGCGCGCCCAACGCACCGGAGCTGCCAATGCCCACCCCGAGCACAGTGAGCCGCAGGGGCTGAGTGCGGAGCCTGCGCTAGCCCGGCAGAGTGCGGGACCCGGTCCCTGCCCGCGCCGCCATCCCCACACCCAGCACCAAGCCTAGCGCCAGCGGCCGGCCAGGCGACCGGACACCTTGTGGTCCGCGCTCCCCGCGCCCAGGTGGCTTAGGCGTTGCCGGGAGCTGCGGAGAAATCTCCAGGCTCGGTCGCCTGTTGCTAGCCCTCTGCTGAAAGCGTCCTTGGCGGCACAGCCTCGCGGACCTAACTGTCCCCGTCGCAAGCTGGAGTTTCAGGCTACAATAGAGCAAAGCGCACTTACCTAACAGCGTAGGGCTGGGCTTGACTGGAGTAGACTAGGTTAAGAAGGAAAGATCTGACTGCCCTGAAAGTTGCGTTTTGGGGCTGTGTGTGTGTGTGTGTGTGTGTGTGTGTGTGTTTACCCCCCCACACCCCCTTCCACCCCTGCGCAATAGCACCAGTCCTCCAAAGAGGAATCTTGAATTGGTAAATTATGCTAAACCCTCGTTTCTGAAACTAGAGTCGCGGCATCTGATGGCACTTGTCAGGCAGGACGACCAGACTAGGAAGGAGACCAGGTAGAAACTAGGGACGGGTGAGGGGCGCCAAGTGGTGCGGACCACAGTCTCAGCCCTGCTCTGATGGGCTGGTGGTGGGAGCCAAGGGGGGAAGCCCTTGAATCCTGAGACTGGGGGATGGGGTGACGCTGCAGCTGGAGTACTTTTATGTCTGGAAACTAAAAGGGCTTTTGAATTTAAAAAACCATTACTTAGGTCGTCGCGTCAGCCATCAATGAGGACGGGGATAGTTCTTTCTGAGAAATTAAAAAGAGAGGAAGAGAGAGAAGAAAAAAAGAAAGGAAATGAAGGGGAAAAAAGACATAAGGAAAGAAAGAAAAGCTTAAACAATAGGTTCTCACCTCCATCCACCCCAATAAGGAGAAAATGTAGAACCCAGGAACTTGTTCTGATGGGGGCTGGGCAAGGTGGAGGGGATGTCACAGGAAAACTCTAAAACCTTAGTATGTATTAGAGACTGCAATACATGTAGGCTTGACATTTAATTAATACCATGTCCTTGTCAATATGTGAAGTAAAAGCTAAGATTTAAATGTTCCTCAGCATACCTATACTTAAATGGGAAGTGATAATCATAATGTCAGGTAAACCCATAAAAAATGTTCATAAAAGCAAAAAACACTGATGCTTTAACATACTTATTAAAAATTGAGTCTGGGGGTTGAACAAGTGTGAAGAGTGAGGTAATTAATTTTTTATATAGTCTGTCCCTGATTTTCAATTTATTAGAACCCAGATAATCAGTGCTTTCCTCTGATAGCACTCTTCCTCTGAAACGAGCACTCCGTGTCCAATTAGCTGTTCATCAGCTAAATTCACGAAACCAGAAATGTACTAAATATGATGCCTGAATTGAAATGCAATGCCCAAAATAATGTGTTCATGTGTGATTTGGGATATTGTAAGAAAAAAATGGTGCACTTAAAACTCCCACTCTTCTTCTTACCGTAGAGTGGCTTTTAGTGTTTAGTGTCCTGCTAAACCCATAAAAATACACTTTACAAAAGTCTTCTTCAGTCATGTAATTGCTTGCAATGAACAAATGCTGACCTGAACAACCTCCTGAAGATCAGAAACCAGTGAACTTTCTCAGACCCTGAAATTGTGAGAAGGTTTAAGCTTACTCTTAGATAAACACATAAAATTTGACCTTTCAAATGGCATAAGAATGTGTGCCAAGAAGCATTAATGGGAGGGGGGGGGATGGTTAATGTTTCCTATAGCCTGTAATATAAAGGAGGACAGAAGTAAATAATGTAAAAGGTGATGGGATAATTCATTACGTGAGCTCTATTTTAGTAGCACAATTGCAACTAATATACTAATTAATGAACAGTCACATAGATCTTTGAGTTCTGAAAGTAACAAAAATATCATTAAAATGAGATATTGCTGAAACAAAGCTTATTTAAAATAACACTAGCAATAAATTTCTAATAAAATATAAGGAGAATAACTTACCAGAGGACATTTCAGGAAGCAAGATGACTGTGAGAAAAATATATCCAGGATTCAAACAGATATTCCATGATCTTCCAAATCAAAATAGTGATGAGCTGCAGGGTCGTGGAACTTTGAAAAAATCAGCAGTTCCTGGTGGCATATAACCACCTAAAAACCAGTTACACAGAAAGCCATGAACCCCCAAGGAAAAGAAAAAATGTGCGAGAGGTACCTTTTATTTTGGGGGGTGGGGGCTTATTTGTAATGATCCTTAGGCAGACAAAGTGAAATTTACTGACTGTACATGCCCACACAGTGGGGGGAAATAGAAGCTGTGTAACCCGGGAGAACAGGAGGTGAAATACAGATAAATCTGCAAAGAGAAGTAAAAGGATGTGTTGAAGACAAGAGATAAAGAGAGAACTAGTGAGCAAGGCTCTAGTCATCCTGAAAGATACAGCAGCAAGAATGATTTAGGCTGCTGGGAAGGATCCAATGAGAATTCAAGAGGGCACTGCTTCTGAAATCCTGCTCTGATCTTCCCACTCTCAGTTCTTTCAGAGTTACCTGCGCTGGGAACATGATTATTAGGATTAATAGTATTCCATCAGTGTGTTTCACTAGGATTTCCCTTGAACTCTCTCACTCGCAGCGACTGAGGGAGGCGTAGTAAGGAAGCCCAGCACAGCCACCTCCCCCCCCCAAAATAAACCACTATGGTCACTTTAGGAAGACCAAACCATCAGTGATTTGCATGGGGCGGGGGGGCGGGGGGGTCGAAGGGCTGAAGATGCGGCTGAGGCCGAGTCGCCGGGCGCTTTCGGGGGCGCTGTGCCGAGGCTCAGGCAAGGGGGCCCGGAACCGCGGTTACGAGCTGCAGCGGCGGCCGCAGGAGCGGTTTTCTCCCAGGTCGGGTTTTCTCGGAGAATGCTGCAGCCCGCGACTCGAGGCCGTTCGCTTCCATCCGAAACCTCAGCTCCAAATGCCTTGTTTTAGAAGCTAGAGCTTGGGAGGTTCCGAGGACGGTTCCTGGGGCAGCGGGTGACCGGCGGTGAGGCTCTCGCGTCCTCTCCGATTCCTGCACAGTTACCGAGGGAGAGCGTGCTAGACGTGGCTTTGCTGCCGAACGCATGATCTTGCCATTTTCGTATCCCGATACGGCACACACGATCGATCGGGTAAGATCAGCTTTATTCCTTCTCTCTTTTCCTCTCCATGGTCCCATCCCTTCTCCGAGCCCAAACCCGAAACCCGAATCCTAGGTTCTCCCCTCTGTCTCTCTCTCTCTCTCTTTCCATTGAAGAACTTCCCTTTCCTCTTTGAAACCTACTTCCCCAGGGAATTGCTCGTGTGACTGAGGGGCTGGTAATTCTCTTCGTAGATGATTTATATTTTGGCTGTGAAATGATTCCCCCGTCGCCACCCTCGGTACCCTCCTTAGAAAAGATCCCTCCCTCCCCATGGGTTCACTCTCCGAGCTCGGATCTGGATGTAGAGCGCCGTGGGAGTCTTTTGCCCTCTGCTCTATCTTCCTCTGGACCCTGAAGCTTAAGCATTATCCGCCTCTCTCCCTCTCTTTTTAGAAATAGGAGGGAAAGGTAGAGTGGAAATTGATTTCTTGCAGAGACTGAGGCGCCGAAAGATAGAGGGAATAAACATTTGCCCTGGATAAAAATGTTCTTGGTAAGTAATCTTATTTTCTGCGGTTGAAAAGGAAACACATTGCTTCTCACTGCCCCATCCCCCACTCCATTCATTTATTTGCTCTCTGTATGTAAATCACGAGCTGGGTCAGTGGAAATTTTCTTTTCCTCCTTCCTCAGAGAATAGCAACATGTAAGGGTGAATTTGAACTAGGGAGCTTTTAAGGAGGCCATAGGAAGGCTTGAAGGCTCTTCATTTCTTACCTTCAAAACCTACACACAGGTAAAGCTGATTCCTGATTGCTTGCAAGAAGAGTATTTAAATACCTCCTTTATTTCTTACTGTTTTTTTCTTTGCGAAAATAAAATAGTTTCAGGTGGTAGCCCCATGTCCAAGGTTTTGTATCCCTTGCTCATGTTCTAAAATTCCATTCCAGAAACAAGAACGTGTATTAAGCTAAAGCTTAATAAGTAAGCTTTAAACTAAAGGTAAGTTAAAGCTATAGTGCCCCTTACGAATGTGTACATCTTTGTTCCAATTCTTGTACCAGATACAAATTATTAGCATCCAAGATAGCTGTTTACATGTTGTGATGATTCCTATAAATTCAGAAAGCTCTCTGGTTTTCACGAGTCTAGAGCACCCCCAGCCTGCATTTGCTTATTATGTGAAGAGTGTAAAAGTAGGAGGAAGCCAAACAGCCTTGGATTGTGCTTACATCATATGTCACTAAGTGTGCAGAATAATACATCTTGCAAATTTGTGTGAACTTGGTTTATAAAATGCCAGCTGACCATTTCGGATGTGAAAAACTAAAGGCGAATTGTTCTAAGAGAAATTATTGCAATTTTGCGTTAGAGAATGTATTTTACTGGTGTAATATCTATATTACTTTTTCCTCCATTATTGTTATGGTTTATAGTCTACAACTCTTATTCCCAAATTTTATTGATAAAGAATAAGCTAATTTGCACAAAATTCATTTCTGATATAAATAGCATAGCCTTAATCCCAAATATCTGATATTAAAATTCCATTGATAAGAAAAGACTTCATTTCAGATCATCAGTTTCCTTGAAATCTACTAGGAAATCTTAGAAGAGAGATAGCCAAGTATTTCAACAGTAAAGCAAACTGTGCATGTACTCAATCTAGTATCTAATTTTATTACTATCAAAATTGTCCAGGGAAAAAATTTCATGCGTGTATAACTTTTTTTTTTTTCCTTTCTCTCCTTAGGCTGTGTTCCTGCCCTAATAAGGATCTAGAGCAGAAGATTTTCTTCAGTCATCAAACTTTACCCAAAAGATTACTGTTGTGTTATATGTCTGTTTTACACAGGTTGACAGATGTTGGTAGGGGGATCTGAGGTCCACACAAGGAGGTTGAATGTCCTGAATTAGATTTGTTACAAATTCAACCTTAACAATTGTGATATATAGAGAGCATAGTTTGCATATATGATCTTTTTATGCTGTCTAAATCTACTTACCTAAATTGCTATTCAAAAAAATACAGTTGTTTGTTGAGGCCCAACCTGACTTAAGTTAGAAAATGTAACATTAAAATTTTTATTTTATATGGGAAATGATTGTGAGGTTGCTATTCTTTTAAATATTTGGAGAATAAAAAGAACAGGATAAAAACATTAATTTTGTGGCCCATGGTTCCTTAACTTTAACAAATTTTATAACACTTAAAGTTTATTAAACTTTCTAAGTACTTAGCATTATATTAAAGCATATGATGAAGTTCGATGAACCTCAAAATAGAGCCATAGGCTTTTACATCTCATAGCTAGCTCTTACCTGGTTTGTACTTAGAACCATCTCAAAAGTTAGATATTTTAATTTTATACTGAGAATGTCCTTTCCTGGATAATCTCAAGGTACATCTACCATTGGTATCAGCACATTTTATATTACTGGTATTGTTTTTGTTTGCTCTCCCGGCTTCTTCTTTTAAATGTATAGGTATCACCTAATGTCTTTCTTTCTTTCTTTCTTTCTTTCTTTCTTTCTTTCTTTCTTTCTTTCTTTCTTTCTTTTTTCCTGCGTCTTCATGTTTTTATTTTTTTCATTTTATTTTATTTTATTTCTTTTCAGTGTTCCAGCATTCATTGTTTATGCACCACACCCAGTGTTCCATGCAACACGTGCCCTCCTTAATACCCACCAGGCTCACCCAACCCACTGCCCCCCTCCTCTCCATAACTCTCAGTTTGTTTCTCAGAGTCCACAGTCTCTCATGGGTTTGTCTCCACCTCTGATTTCCCCCAACTCACTTCTCCTCTCCATCTCCCAATGTCCTCCATGTTATTCTTCATGCTCCACAAGTAAGTGAAACCTATAATTGACTCTCTCTCCTTGATTTATTTCACTCAGCATAATCTCTTCCAGGCCCATCCATGTTGATACAAAAGTTGGGTATTCATCCTTTCTCATGGAGGCATAATACTCCATTGTTTATATGGGCCATATCTTTATCCATTTGTCCATTGAAGGTCATCTTGGTTCTTTCCACAGTTTGGTGGCCATTGTTGCTATTGGGGTACAGATGGTCCTTCTTTTCACTACATCAGTATCTTTGGGGTAAATACCCAGTAGTGCATTTGCAGGGTCATAGGGAAGCTCTATTTTTAATTTCTTAAGGAGTCTCCACACTGTTTTCCAAAGTGGCTGCACCAACTTGCATTCCCACCAACAGTGTAAGAGGGTTCCCCTTTCTCCTCATCCTCTCCAACACATGTTGTTTACTGTCTTGTGAATTTTGGCCATTCTAACTGGAGTAAGGTGGTATCTCAATGTGGTTTTGATTTGAATCTCCCTGATGGCTAATGATGATGAACATTTTTTCATGTGTCTGTTAGCCATTTGTATGTCTTATTTGGAGAAGTGTCTGTTCATGTCTTCTGTCCATTTTTTGATGTGATTATCTGTTTTGTATGTGTTGAGTTTGAGGAGTTCTTTATAGATCTTGGATATCAGCTTTTGTCTGTAGTGTCATTTGTGAATACCTTCTCCCATTCCGTGGGTTGCCTCTTTGTTTTGTTGACTGTTTCTTTTGCTGTACAGAAGCTTTTGATCTTGATGAAGTCCCAAACATTTATCTTTCTTTTTGTTTCCTTTGCCTTTGGAGACATGTCTTGAAAGAAGTTGCTGTGGCCATTGTTGAAGAGGTTACTGCCTATGTTCTCCTCTAGGATTTTGATAGATTCCTGCTTCATGTTGAGGTCTTTTATCCATTTCAAGTTTATCTTTGTGTATGGTGTAAGAGAATGGTTGAGTTTCATTCTTCTACACATAGCTGTCCAAGTTTCCCAGCACCATTTATTAAAGAGACTGTCTTTTTGCCACTGTATATTTTTTCCTGTTTTGTTGAAGATTATTTGACCAGAGTTGAGGGTCCAAATCTGAGCTCTCTACACTGTTCCACTGGTCTATGTGTCTGTTTTTGTGCCAGTACCATGTTGTCTGGGTGATCACAGCTTTGTAGTAAAGCTTGAAATCAGGCAACGTGATGCCCCTGAATTTGTTTTTCTTTTTCAACATTTCCTTAGCAATGCGAGGTCTCTTCTGGTTCCTTACAAATTTTAGGATTGTCTCTTCCAGCTCTTTGAAAAATGCTGGTGAAATTTCGATCAATATGGCATTCAAAGTATAGATTGCTCTAGGTAGTATAGACATTTTAACAATGTTTATTCTTCCAATCCATGAGCATGGAATGCTCTTCCATCTTTTTGTATCTTCTTCAATTTCTTTCATGAGTGTTTTGTAATTCCTTGAGTACAGATCCTTTACCTTTTTGGTTAGGTTATTCCCAGGTATCTTATGGTTCTTGGTGCTATAGTAAATGGAAACAATTCTCTCATTTCCCTTTCTATATTTTCATTGTTAGTGTATAAGAAAGGAACTGATTTCTGTACATTGATTTTATGTCCTGCCACATTACTGAATTACTGTGTGAGTTTTAGTAGTAAGGGGATGGAGTCTTTTGGGTTTTCAATATTAAGTATTATGTCATCTGTGAAGAGAGAGAGAGTTTGACTTCTTCATTGCCCATTTGAATACCTCTTATTTATTTTTATTGTCTGATTGCTGTTGCTAGGACTTCTAGTACTATGTTGACCTAATATATTTCTTACCTGTTAATCCAATAAAATGTCTAATCTAAAAGCAATGTTCAAGGTATATTGTATTAGAGAAATTGCAAATCAGTTTGCTTGAGAATAAAAAATGTCAATATGCCTTAGGTCGTTTTAACCCTAAATCAAATTTATAACAAAAATGTAGTAATAGAAGTAAACTCAAACTGTTTCTTGCATACGAAAGAGAGTCAGTCATACATCACACACACATGCATATATAATTTCCTTCATTAGAATATTAAAATTTATTCATTTTAGTCTCTGCTACATGTTTATTTTGGTTTTAGATCTTCCTCTTTGAATATCTCTCAAGTTTCTTAAATACCTAAGTGTGAAAGCATTTTCATGTTTTACTCCATAAGATGAATATGCTGCTAAATAAACAGAGCCCATATATTTGAGTCTCAAAATACTTATAATAGTCCCCTGCCTTATCCACAGAGGACATGTTCTAAGACCCCCAGCAGATACCTGAAACCATGGATAGTAAAGAACCTTAATTATATCATGTTTTCTCCTACACATACATACTATAATAAAACTTAACTTATATATTAAGCACAGTAAGAGTTTAACAATATTAATAAAATAGACCAATTATAAAAATATTCTGTAATAAAAGTTATGTGAACATGTCTCTCTCAAAATACCAGATTCACCTTTTTTCTTCTTGGGATGATGTGAGATGATAAATTGCCTGTGTGATGAGATGAAGTGAGGGAATGACATAGGCATTGTGACGTGGCGTTAAACTACTACTGACCTTGGGACTACTTGTCGGAAGGGATCATCAGTTTCCAGAAACTGAAGCTGCAGGTAGGTAACTGAAATAGGGGAAAGTGAAACCAGGGATAGAGGGAACTACTCTACATTGAAACCGGAAGGGACTTTAATGCCACTGAGTCTTAACTCCTTCATTATGGTGAAGAAATTGAGAACCTAAGAGGCTAAGTGATTAGTGTAATCATGTACTAACTGGTAATCCACAGAACTTTAAATTTGGTCTTCCTAACTTCTTAGCTAGTATTCATTGTAAATCAATCAAATTCCATCACTAGCTGCTAAAGCAGGTATTGTTTGAATTGGGATAAGGAGTAGCTGAAAGAGAAGGTGGTACAACGATGAATAAATTGCACCCTTCTTGGAGATGATTTTGTTGACAACTAATCCTCTCCGCTGTAGGGAGTTTTTATTTCCCCATCATGTTTTATCGTCCCTAGCTCCCTGCTGTCCCTGCCCTCAATGACTGGGGAACATTTCTTAGTGCAATTGTACTTCCTCAGAAAGATTCTTAGTATTTTTGTACTTCACTAGATTGTTCCCTAGACTACTACACACCTCCCTCCTTCCCCTACCCATACACCTACCTGCAGTGTCACACACCATCATGTCACCTGTAGTTCTGCTTCTTTTTTTAAAAAAGATTTTACTTATTTATTTAAGAGAGAGAGAGAGAACGAGAGGGGGGAGGGTCAGAGGGAGAAGAAGACACCCCACTGAGCAGGAAGCCCAATGTGGGGCTCTATCCTGGGATTCTTGGATCATGACCTGAGCCAAAGGCAGATGCTTAACCTACTAATCACCAAGGCACCCCTGCCGTTCTAGTTTTTAAATTCCTTAGTAATCTAAAAAATAGAACTACATCAAGAGGAAAGCCATCTCAAAAGAAGATGGTTAATTAGACTTACATCTGAAACCACATACACACACACACACAGGATATGAAATAAATGCAGAGACTCAGACAATACATTGTGATGAAGACATTATTATATTAAAAAATATTCCATTAACAAAGGGCATTCATAATAGGAAAGCTATAAAACTTCAGTAATTTAGGAATGTTCACTTTCTGGAGTATTGCTACCAAGTTACTTTTCTGGGAAATGACAAGCCTAAAGGACAAATACAACATTGAAATCCATTGGTGGTTATTGCTTCAAAGGGGTCCTTATTCTTGGGTTAAACAAGAATAGAGGAAAATCTGAAAATATTTTAACTCTATATAATATGCTTTTATAAAATTAAATTTTTACAGTATTCTGAAATATTGCAATAGATGGGATACTTACAAGAAAGAATTTATATTGGTTATTTTTTGTATTAAGGATTGATACAGCATCTATTCCTAATTAAAACAATTCAAGGAATAGGGGTAGAGGGAACATTCCTCAACTTCATAAAATCTATCTATGAAAAACCCATAGCAAATATCATCCTTAATGGGGAAAAGCTGAAAGCCTTCCCTTTGAGATCAGGAACACGACAAAGATGTCCAATTTTGCAACTGTTGTTCAACATAGTACTAGAAGTCCTAGCAACAGCAATCAGACAACAAAAAGAAATAAAAGGTACTCAAATTGACCAAGAAGAAGTCAAACTTTCTCTCTTCGCAGATGACATGATACTTTATATGGAAAACCCAAAGACTCCACC